CTACTGATTTTAACTTTTGAATTGTTTGTGAATTTTGTTATACCGGGACCTTTTATAGCTTACTTTACGGTATGTATATCTTTGCTCATTATTGACCTAGGACAGGAACATAAAGAATGTAGCAGTTTTTACCATGCTTGTGAGCCCTCTCCTAACATGGGACAGTTGTATAACAGCACAACATAATCACAATCTGTAAAAATCAGTCGGAGAGGGCTTGAATAAATAGATCGTCTCGAAGCGTACAAAACTAGCAAATACTGAAGCTAGTTATGTTTTCCCAAACTTTAATATCAATATGTACACATCCAACGGAATAAGTGTAAAGACAGGACCTTGTACATGCCAAGATATAAAGATCGACAGGATATAATTACATACATGTTCATAAATGTATTGCAATAAAACAAAATCACTGTTTAGTCTTATAAAGACAATATTCAAAGATCTACGTACTATGTTACTAGGATTGCTGCTCACAAGGAATCTATTAAGCCAAGAGTTCCAAATGGTGAAGTTGAAGTCATCCCTTCGTAAATTTTACGGGCGCCATCACGAGTTGGTTGACCGTTATGGAATAACCGTTTCACAGATGATATCGGATATGTTCCTTATGTCGTAACTACAATACCCTTCCCTTTTCACGAATGTGACTTACCGAATTAGACTATTTACCGAATTTGTAATAACATAAGCAACACGACGGGTGCCACATGTGGAGCAGGATCTGCTTACCCTTCCGGAGCACCTGAGATCACCCCCAGTTTTTGGTGGGGTTCGTGTTGTTTAGTCTTTAGTTTTCTATGTTGTGTCATCTGTACTATTATTTGTCTGTTTGTCTTTTTATATTTGGCCATGGCGTTGTAAGTTTGTTTTCGATCTATGAGTTTGACTGTCCCTCTGGTATCTTTCGTCCCTCTTTTAAATTGTTAACATTTACGAATGAGTTTATTCAAAGAATCAATAGGTTTACCTGAATCGTATCTAAACTTATGGATAAATTATAAACAACATCACCAAAATTAATATCCCGTTTGAAATAAGATTTCTATAAGTACAGGCAAATATCCCGATTAAATCTTCATATCTATGAAAGCATTGAGTAAATGTTCTGTACCAAGTCAGGAATATGGCAGTTGTTATCAAGTAGTCCATTTCTATGTATGTTGGCGTTTGTTTTTGTAGCAGTTCAGTGTTTCTGTTGTTCCGTTGTTTTCATCTTATAGTTTATGTGTTATCCGCGAATTTGTTTCAGTTAAATCGATTTATGACTATTGAAAAGCGGTATACTATTGTTGCCTTTATTTAATTATTTTGTGATAACAGATTTAAGAAATTACCAGTTGTACAGAGGTAACGTCCAATTAAATCTTAACCGTTTCTAAAGACACGAACATAGCGAACGAGCTTGCAGATGTACTCACCGCAAGAAGAGGCCAAAGTACCATTACCGTTTAAAAAACTAAAAATAACAATAGGGAACGAAACTCGTCTATTCAGCCGTAATTTTTTGTGTTTCCCGTGTGAAATAAAATTAACAAATCTAGAAGAGAGGCGAAAGATACTAAAGGGATATTCAAACTCATAAGTCGACAACAAACTGACAACGCCATTGCAAAAAACGAAAATCGACGAAAAAACAAATAACATTAAACAAAACACAACATAGAAGACTAAAGACTGAGGAACACGAACCCCATCCAAAAACCGGGGGTGATCTCAGGTGCTACGGAAGGGTAAGTAGATCCTGCTCCAAATGTGGCACCCGTCGTGTTGCTGATGTAAGTACAAACCCTGTGATAAGTCTAATTCGGTAGGTCAAATTCGAGAAAAAAGAGGACGGGACCAATTGAAACATATCCGCCGTCATCTGTGAAACAAATATTCCATAACGGCAAACCAACTGATTTCAACTTCACCACTTGTAACTCTTGGTTCAAAAGCTTCCTTGTAAGCAGCAACCCTCTTTCAAGGAAATCACGATATCAAATGCACTCTCTGGAATATCGTATCAAACTGGAGATATATACTCCATTATGCAGGTGGTGCTGGAATGTTGCTATATAAAAATGGAGAGTGCACAATTGGGAAGCTGAATTCATCTCTTTCGTCGTAAAGTTTTGTTCTCAACCGATTCTCATTGTCAATTTTTAGATGTCAAGATATGAGCAGACTTAACTGTATCTGTTGTATCCTTTATTTCAAGTTCGATGAAAAAGATGCGTTCAACATAATCACCAAACTTTGAATTATTTAACGAGACGACATCACCTATATAGCGGAACGTGAAGTTAATGGATAATGCTAGCTTCTTTTCATTCTTTCAAAGAAGTTCCTGTATGAAGTCAGCTTCATGTGAATAAAGAAACAAGTCAGCAAGAAGCACAGTTAGTTCCCATGGGAATGCCGATTGTTTGCTGAAAAAACACGTCATCCAAACATAAAAACTATAGTGTCAATCAAGAAATCTTGAAAATGTCAGTTTTAGAAATTTTTTTGTCGGAATCAGGGTGATTTTTTTTACAAAGTACGATTTATACCCCATAAGTCAAGATACTTGTATCTACGTTGACCATTCTTTTTTATGAAACAAAGGAAGGCCTATTTTTCTTTTAGTTTGGAATAGGGAATACTAGTGTAAAGAGTAGAAAATTCAAATAGTTTAATACTATTGCAAGAGGAAAGAGACATAGATTATATATACTCTAACATATCTTTCGAATTTTTAAGTATCCACATCTGATTACGCCGACCCTAGAGTAGGTAATTTTAAAATAACTTTGATTGCTGATAAAACTAATGTTATTTATTTAGAACAAGGTTTCGTGGAGCACTTGGAAGACCCAGCAATATAACGTTGTTTGTAAGGACCTTTATGTAGTTTAGGTATCCAATACAGTGATGGAAGATCCAGTTCTTCATCTTTGGTTGAAATTCCAAAGGAACATAGAACAGACCTATGATTATCCAGGATTTCCTCTTTGGTAAGTGTCGTGGGGGTATATGTTGAGTTTCTAAGTGAATTGTCAATACATAATTCCTTTATCAAGCAGTTTAAGAAATGTGATTTAAGCACAAAAACGGTGTTGTTTGGGGCTTTATCTGCGGGGACAATAACATATTTGTCATGGAGATTGGACAGGTGCTTAGCAACATTTGGGTCTTCGAAGATTGATGTAGCATGTATGTTCATAGACCCATTCAGTTTTTTAATTCGAATTTGTATCAACGATCTCACAGCCGTAACCCATTCGGAAAGAGTATCTACGTATTCTTTTTCGCGGTTATTATGTATTGCATAATCCTCGACTGAATCCATCAGTATTTTGAAGTTGTGTTTCCAATTGATGGATTTAGGCTCACGATAGAAGTCGTCAATGTTGAGATCCTGCAACACGGGTTTGTAATTGAACATTTAAGTTGCAATTGGTTTTGTTTTGGTATAAGAGATGATAGGTACAGACTGATATTTAAAGAAGGGAGGTATTTTTGAGTGAACTGATTTATGATAAAGGATATTTCCCAAGTTGATGGCATCGAGACCTTAGTTGGCAAAGGAAGGTTTAAGAAGGATCTTTTCTTCTTTTCATCTTTTGCAATGCGAACCGATCTGAATAGTCTTTGACTGGCAATATCCGGGATGATAGGTGTAAGTTTGTATTGGTTTAAAGGGGGTTGTTACAGTGGTTTCCAAACATATGTTGTACAAAATACAGAGAATGAAGCTTTGAATGGGGTAGTGATTAAAGATTAAAGTGATGAATACCCAACGACTTTTGTATAAATGGCAGAAGGTCATTACTAGAGAAATCAAGGAGAGAAGGTGATGTATAATGACAATGACAATGACTGTTTCTACGTCGAGGAGCAGAGCTGAAAATATTCATCATATTCACCGAGCTACATGAAGGACTAGATAGAATACCTATACCATCATTTTTTTTCATTTCAACCTTATGGTGTCGCAGTTCCCAATTATCGAATCCAGTAGTCTTCCTTTTGTCTACTTAGAGGTGTTGCAAGATGAGGATTGTTAGTCCTGTGGAATATTTTTTCGATGATGCGAACTCGCATAGAAAGGATTGAATGATCAAACTGATTAAAATGCTGACAATTATATTAGATTTATGTAAATTAAATGTCAATTCACTTGAGTTTTTCGAAGTACAAATAGAGAATTCTTGATTATTTAAAACAAAAATATCGCCAAAGTAACGGTAAGTGTTATAAAATGTTTGTAATCTGGAATTTAGATGGAGTTTGGCCATACACTATGATAATCATTGACAATAATACAAAAACATGCCTGCTATTAAAGTGGCGCAATTTGTCCCTACAGTTATACTCACAACCAGTCGATAAACATGTTTAACCCCGCCACATTCTGTATGTGCCTGTCCCAAGTCAGGGGCTTGTAATTCAGTGGTTGTCGTTTGTTTCTGTATATCACACTTGTTTTTCGTTTATTGTTTGTACATAAATCAGGACGTTTTAATTGAATTGAAAGGCCTTTTATACCCTGTTATGCGATATGGGTTTTGCTCATTGCTGAAGGCCGTAAGGTGACCTATAGTTGTTAAATTCTACGTCATTTGGTGTCAAGTGGAGAGTTGTCTCCTTTGCAATCATACCACGTCTTCTTATTTTAACATTAATAACCAAAGCGTACATAGATGTAAGAGGAAATTTACAGACATTTTTGTTGTCTCTATATTGTTTTTTGTTTTGAAGCTCACGAACGTGTTATATATGTGGCTTCCCAAACCTTTGGCATCGAGCAAACCTGATGAAGGTGTTTAGGGAAATACGTGCCGTGCACACTGAAATCGGATTCATACTTTTATTCAATTAAAGCTAAAATTCACAGCATTTATATATATATATACATATATATTTTGCTAAAAGAACAAAATTACTTTACAATTTCTAAATACATTTCTAACATTGCTTGGCTGATGGAGATATATTTTGAAAGACGATTTAATTTCTAAAAGCTAACAAAGATGAAGGAAACTTTATTTAGAAATATGAAACCATATGTAAAAATATAAATATCAATAATGTAACTACCGTTCAAACGTTCGTAATCTTGAAGATTTCATCAGAGTATCATATGTAGCTACACTGTATAACTACATCCGTGTACTGTTCTATATTTTACTGATCCGTGCAATCTGCGTGTCAGTAAGACTTGGTTTATTCGGAACATCCCTGGCACTTATAACAGCTTTAGAAACTTTATCTGGGTTATTGTCAAATACAAAATGTTGTAAATATTTGATAGTAGACCTTCGTCCTTGCTGAAAAATAAGACCAACTTTCTGTACATCGTATTCAGCTTATACATAGATCAATTCTGACTATTAAACTATTTTCGTTAGTAGGGTGTGATAGTAGATTACCTCTTCAAAAGAAGTTTTTTTACCCGATGAGAAGTTGAGTATGATATATATTTTTTATTGCGGTAAAGAATACCACAAACACACAAAATTTTGTTTACTATACTGAATGCTAATGATTCAAATGCAATAAATAAAAAAAAAATGAAAGAAAGGAATTATCTACTGTAAAAATAACGAAAGAAAGAAAGTCATTGGATGTGTCTGGAGCGCTTTTCTGGACTAACCTTCATCAGAAACGATCAAAGGCGAATATTTGAAAACCAAGGATGTGTAAGAACGAAAACAGTTGAAGAGCTATATAACAAAAAAACCCACATACCATAATGGCCAAATTCATTAAGGTCAACTTTACCTGCGTGATTTAAAACCTTAGTTTCTTAATAATTTGTAAATTTGAAAACGGCCAATTTAAGAAAAAATTGTTTTAAATCTTGTCACGACCGAAGTACTGACTACTGAGCAGATGATACACTCGGGTAATGATAGTTCACCAGCAGTGTCTTTTGGCAAAATATTGTTTCGCATTAAATGTTTTTAATTGCTAGGTTAAGCTCAAACGAAAACAGTATTTTCCCTCCCGCAGATTGGCATTGCGATTTAATATTACCCTCTAAAATACCACTCATTGCCAAAAATGCGGAACTGATGGCGGAGCTAATTAGAGAAAGAAAATATCCCCACAATTGGTCAATAAAATGAGCCAATTGAATTGACGCTTTGGAAAATATAATGAATTAAATCACATGAAAATACTACAAATATACAAAAACCTATAAAATATATATCTACATACGTCTACCAGAAACTTCTTGTCACCCTCTTCCAGACCGAAATCGTTTGTTTTAATGTACCACGAATTTATTCCAATTGATCGGTCTATATCAGAACTCTGAAAACAAAATTACTTTTAACAATGAAAGAAATTAGAACCATATATTTTTATTATCATTATTATAACATCATTCTTATTTTTATCCAAAAAAAAAGTTCCCAATCAAAAGCTTAATACTAACTACATGCAGTTATATTCCATACGTCATTATGAAAAGGTCAGATTAAATAATGTATCCCAATGCTGACAAAATATTCGCGTTTTCATCTGATAAGTGTAACCTTAATTGGTACCATTTAATGCTATCTACTTATCTTACCGACTAGTGGCCTATCAAAGTGATCAAGAACCTAATTCAATTGGTTTATACAAAAACAAATGACAACAATAACAACTTGTAAGCTTTAAATGTGTTTTCAGCATTTATTTTCAATCGTACATTATCAATTTCTTCATCTGTTGTCCGGGCGAAACGTTTCAAATTTTCCCTCAACGCCGTGTTGTTTTTATAAAGGGACGTAACCGTGTATTGAAATAAAACGCGCCCACTAACCCCAAACTAAATCTCCACGTGTTCACTTTTAACCAATGGTATTCCTTGCAGTGTATATGAGGTAAGATAAATGGGCTATATTCTGTCAGGTCATAACTTTATGACGTATAGCAATTGAGAAATTTAAAGACTTGATAATTGTTAACAAATATTGCAATGTATTGTACGTCAACAGACGACTTGAGCAAATAGGATTCAGTAGTAGAATAATTGATTACTTCATACGAAATACCTTGAGCCTAAATCCATAAACTAAAAACTTAACTTTTAGATACTAATGGAATATGTCGAAGGTTATGCCAGACAATAGTAAAACCATGAGAAAGATATTTATATTCTTTCGGAATACATTAAGCTACAATGTCGTTAAATAAATCAGTATTCAAAACCATATCAGTCTATGAACATTCATCCTCATATAGCTTGATAAATACCAATGTATCTAAACACCTGTCCATAAGTTAACTCTATGACACATTTGTTTTTGTTCACGCAGACAAAGCTACAAACAATATCGAGTTTGTGTAAAAATTACATTACATGAATCAGGTATCGACAATTGACGTGTAAACCAAACATATGCTCAGACAACACTAACTAAAGAGGAAATCCTGAAAATCTGTTAACTGATAAAGAAAATAATCTCAACAGTTAAAGGAATTTGATGCCTAGTTTTTCTTGATTGAAATTGCTTTTAGATCTGTTTGTTGTAGACTAACCAGACAACGTACTGGACTCTCATCATGGGTAGCCCTATAGTGTTGAGCAAGAGTTGTTTTCCTTTCCGGAGGACCAGTGATTTATATGATTTATTATGTTCCTTCACTAGTTTTTAACATCCGTTTTTTTGTTGAAATTTGGTTTTAGTTCTTTTTATTTATATGTTGGTGAGAAATTTGTTTTGGACGGTTTTGGGGGGGTTACATTTCATTCCGATTCGGATTCCTTAACTTAGTTTGGCATGCGAGAGAAAAAACATAAAAAATATTACATAAGAGGAAATACTGTGAAATCAAAATATTTTAACTTTTTCAATGTCTTTTCTTATTAAATTTTACTTTAAAGCTATTTGAATGATGTACGTACTCAACGCCTATACATGTATGCATGACAATGTTAATCAGACCATAAAATTAACAAAAATACCCTGATAAATATCCTCATAAGATTTATTGCCAGAGCATTGAATACCGTTCCCAGAAAACTGAAAAATCCATTGACTTCTGTCCGTTTTAACCCCAAGTATTTTTCATGGATGCTAACTCCTGTTCCTTCAACGAAGTTTATCAGTTCATTGTAAGTAATCTGAAATGTAGAAACTCGTTTTATTAAATAAAGTATATATTATGATGTGTTTTGTCAATTTTACTACTCATCGCTCGATTAATATCGTTGTTTTGTGTGTAAAGAAGTTGATAAATATCATAATCAATGAGAAAGTCTGGTATAATCTTTACGCATATGACGCCTCTTTATGTGTAAAGTTTATCCTTCACATGACGCTTCTTAAGGATGTACTTAGGTCAGGTTTAGGATTTTTTGTCAGATGTTCGGACTCCTTGGATTTTTTCCTACGATACGGGGTAAAATAGTTTGCTCCATAACACCCATTTTTCTGTTCATAAAATACTCCAATAGCTCATAAAAGGTCATTTACCAAATTTAAACAGATTCTAGATTTCTTTTCTTTCGATTTGAGACCCAAATAGTACTAATGCAAATGTAAGGTAAAAGTCCGAGTCAGCCTTTTTCCGCCATTTAAAAAAAATAAATATCTAGAAAAAGATTTTTTTTAATTTCACCTTAGTGCATCCTTAGTGTATAATATATATATTCAGCATATGACGCCTCTTTATTTGCATCGTTTAACCTGCTTATGACGCTTCTTTATATGTGAAATGTTTACCTAGCATATGAAGCATCTTTATTAGCAATGTTTAATCAGCATATAAAGCATCTTTCGGTGTAATGTTAACCCAGTTGATGTGTAATAAGCATCTTTTTGTGTAATGTTTACCAAGCATATATAACGCATCTTGATGTGTAATGTTTACCCAGTTGATGTGTAATGCTTACTCAGCATATAGAGCATCTTTATGTGTAATAAGCATCTTTTTGTGTAATGTTTACCCAGCATATAACGCATCTTGATGTGTAATGTTTACTCAGGATATGGCGCTTCTTTTTGTGTAATGTTTATCCTGCATATGACGCTTTTTACGTGTTATGCCTATCCAGCATACGACGCTTCTTTATGTGTAATGTTTACCCTGCATACGACTCTTCTTCATGTGTAATGTTTACCCAGCATATGAAGCTTCTTTTTGTGTTATGCTTATCCTGCATGTGACCCTTTTTACGTGTAATGTTTATCCACCATATGACGCTTCGTTATGTGCGTTGGTTACCCTGCATATCCTTATGTGCAATATACAGAGATGAGATATGACCAAAGTGACAACCTTCTCGCCTATTTCATTAAACTTACGCTCCCACTTTCGTCCCTGTCAAGTGCATCGAACGCCAAATGAGGACCACATCCCTCCCCAAATAACAATTTACTATGGTGATCTCCAAAATCAGCCTACAACGAAAAATAAATATACGGGTACGATAGAAGAAAGAAGCATTATGTCATTTTTACATTCCGTCCAAACGCAATTAAAAGCCATCGAGACGGCTTTTTGACCGTAATAGCTGTCTGAAGAATTTTCAATAAAATCCCAACGCATCCACTGCGCGCACAAAAGTCTATGTCAGAATTTTGACATAAACTATGACTATACTGTACTCATAACCAAACATTGACAGGAAATTTCCCCGCAAGGCAAGGTAAGAATTATATTATATTATATTTATATTACATGTATGTTACATTATATTGTATCAAATTATCATGCCTGGGCCTTTTATAGCTGACCATACGTTGCAGGTTTTGCTCATTGTTGAAGTCCGCACGGTGACCCATAGTTGCTTTATAGCTAGAGTCAGAATAATGTGTCCGGGTAGGGTGACAAGTCTCCAGCGGATTATTTCCTTGTGAAATAGCTCGTTATTTTAAAAAAAAGGCTCAGCGTGTCGGTTAAGTACAATGCATGGTTCGTAATCATATTTATATATTTTGAAATTATAAAGAAACTAAGGTTTCAACTCCCTCAGGCAAAGTTGACCTTAGATGAATTTGGCTATTTGTTTTAGGTATTTTTGTCATAGCTCTTCAACTGTTTCGGTACTTATACATCTCTCGGATTTCAAATGTTTGGCTTTGAGCGTTCCTGATCAAGGTAAATCGCTTCGGACGCATGAAATTATTAAACGTGTTGTTTTCAATTTATTAACATGTTCTCGTCCTGATATGCATGTTATATTTGCCACTGAACATGGAACACCAATTCATCATCAAATCAGTGGTCTCGTTAGCCCAATATAGAGGGACGCCACGCCCTTAGTGCCTTTATCCGCCCCCTTCTGCTTTGACAAATAATGGTAAATCTAATTTTTAAAAATTCATGATAACATGAAAAAGTTTCAAAGTAAATTTTGAATAAACTTTTCCTCCCAGATTACCTGAAGCAGATCTACCTCGTGGGTATGAATGATTGTCAATCTATTATTTGTAGTACCTAATTGATACCATTTCTTCTTTTGTATTCCAAAAGAATTAAATCCGCACAGTAAAGCCACAGATCTGATACTGACAAGGTATATATTGATTGAGAGTAACGTATCACATATTAACTATAATTTTGTGAACAAATGTTGATCATTCTTAAATCTTACTTCAGAAAATGCTTTTTCGAATTCTGCTTTTGAAATGACGTCATTTCCATCAAGATTATGTTTTCGTAAAACCTAAAAATTAAGAAAACATCGACTGATGAGTAATTATTTAATGAACGTGAAAGATGAGGTAAGCGTTTATTTCACTCGTTCAAAGTATTTTTATACAAGATTTTATGTTTTTTTTTTAAATGTTCCTTATTTATTTCAATATTATACTGTGCTTATTGTTCAGTTTGATTTATGTTATGTCAGACTTTCAAAACGAACCCTCCAGCCAGGACGAAAACACACACAATTAATACAATGCTCGATAAACATCGTTGTTTTGTGTGTAAAAAAGTTGATAAATATCATAATCAATGAGAAAGTCTGGTATAATCTTTACGCATATGACGCCTCTTTATGTGTAAAGTTTATCCACAATAAACAATTTAATGTCAATTTTCAACATGAAATTATTCTTATTCAAAAATGTTATCTAACAAACTACACATAAGTATAGAATCAAATAAAGACTTAGGCCATTCATAGGGCTAAAGTTCAAATGTCCATCAAAATAAAAATAAAAGAATTCCCGAAATATTCATTTGTTTTCTTTACATCTAACCTCAAACGAACGCCGAACAAAGGATAACACCAAATTGGCAGTTCGCTGACGCTGAACAAAGGAAAACACAAAACTGGTTGTACGATGAAATGAGTTTCTTTACAATTGGTTTAAGAGAAGACTTACTTCGATGAATGCAGTTACAGCTTCACATACTTCTGTATATGCCTTGTTTATCTTCCCTTTACCTTGTTCAGTTTTTATCCACTGTCTGAAAATTAACACAAATTCATTGACTTGGTTTATATAAACCAAATGACAATCGATTAATCTATTTTTCATTTTTTTTTCACTTTTTTATTTTGACTTTTAGTCCCGATAAATATCGATCTGAATAAGTGCGGTAAAAAGTGACTTGATGAGAACGAAAAAAATAGATATTCAAATAAGAACAGAGGAATCTGAATTTACAATCGTCTTATATGCTTTTGAATATGAAATATAAACACAATACTGATTTTTATATGCAACAATTTCAATTGATCTCCTTAACGTGAACTTGGTCATTGTTACCGATTTTAAGATATGAATTTAAACGATTTTAATATTCAAATCAAGTATCGACATTCTCCACCAATAAAATGGCCGCCACGGTAAAGACAAAAGTGATGAAAGTGACGTTAAAACACTAACAATTAATCCATCAATAAACTTTTTCAGCAGTGTTTGAATATCCTTCAAGAGATTATAGACTGGCTTTCAGACGATCATCACTTTGTTTTGGCAAAACCTTACGGGATTTTAGGTCACCAATGCTCTTCAATTTCGTACTTTATTTGGCCTTTTAAAATTTTTGATTCGTTCGTCACTGATAAGTCTTTTGTAGACGAAACGCTTGTAGTGTTTGCTATGTATGCTTTAGTATATCAGTATAGAAAGAGAGATAACTCTGTTATCTGCTGGAACAATGTATGTGAACTGCTTGTCTCCCTTTGTACTGTGTTGTATAGAATATGCAGAGTTTCCGGTTATGTAATAAATGATGTACCTTCAATGGTGTTTGTTTGTATGCCAGTATCAGGGCTATCAGGTTTAATCCGAATGTTCCATGCCACAAACAGTACATTTAAATTGGCGACGAGGATAATCAAAGGTTGTATTACAAAATGGGAACAGTTTTACTACCAGATGTTAGCGGTATACAGAATTTTGACATTTCTGACTCGACAGGACTGTCTGCACGTTGGAAACGATGGCTTCGGGCGTTTCAACTATTTGCCGCAGGAAAAGGAGTTACAGATGTAGATCAAAAATATGCATTATTATTGCACACAGCCGGAATGAATGTTCAGGACATTTTTTTCACATTGCCGGAAGGTGCAGGAGAAGGTGCATATGAAAAGGCGGTGAGTGCGCTAGATACTTATTTCACACCACTTTCAAATGCCCCTTATGAACGATCAATTTTTCGATCTATGATTCAGTCTTCTTCAGAGACAATTGAACAATATATAACGCGTCTTCGACAGAGAGCTGATACATGTGATTTCGGCAATCAAAATGCAATTGATGAAAGAATACGAGATCAAATTATTGATAAATGTTTAAGTCACCATCTCAGACGTAAATTGCTTGAGAAAGGTAGGACACTTACTTTAGCAAATGTTAGAAGTATTGCAAAAGCTATGGAAGACTCAGAACGACAAGCTAAATCAATTGAAGGTCAAGGTCAAGTCAACATGATACAGTCAAAAGGTAAACAGTATGGAAAGAACAGTTTAAATTCTGGTAACAAAAGTTTTAATTCGGGTAACAAGTCTACATGTACAGCAACGTGCTACAGTTGTGGACGTGAAGGTCACATTAGGACTGACCCAAGCTGTCCGGCTCGGGGGAAGAAATGCAGGAAATGTAAAATCGTTGGTCATTTCGATAAAGTTTGTAAAACTAAGGATAAGTCAAAGCACGGAAAGATTCGTCAAGTTGTTGAACAACCACAGAATAACACGGATGATGAGGAATATGTATTTAGCATGATCGGTGTAAATCAGATAAATTCTGTGTGTGAAAATATTGTTGTCAATATAGGGAATGTGGATTTGAAAATGATAATTGATTCTGGAGCATCATGTAACATCATGGGAATAAATTTATGGAATTATTTAAAAGATAATCGTGTGAAATGTGTTTCGTCCAAGTCTACAAAGAGTTTATTCGCATATGGCAGTGAGGAACCATTGAAAATCGCTGGAATATTTACAGCTACTGTACAATGTAACAATAGAACTTTAAATGATATTGAATTTGTTGTTATTGAAGGCAAAGGCCAGGCTTTGTTGAGTCGTAAAACAGCAGAACAGTTAGGTGTGCTGCAGCTTGTTCACAGTGTTAGTGAACCTGGAACAATTAAGGACAAGTATCCAGAATGTTTTACAGGAGTTGGTAAACTGAAATCATTTCAGTTACAGATACCTATCGACCCAGATGTTGAACCCGTTATTCAGCCTATGAGGAGGGTACCGTTTAATCTGCGCGATAAACTTGCCAAGAAGTTAGATGAACTTTTAGATTTAGATATAATTGAACATGTCAATGAACCTAGTCAATGGGTTTCTCCAGTAGTAGTCGTGCCAAAACGTTCAGGTGATGACATCAGACTATGTGTTGACATGCGCCAGGCTAATACAGCTGTGAAACGAGTACGACATCCGATTCCTACAATAGATGAACTATTGCAAGAAATGAACTCTAGTAAAGTGTTTAGTAAGCTTGATGTAACTTGGGCCTATCACCAAATTGAGTTAAAACCAGAGTCTAGGGAAATTACTACTTTTGTAACTCATAAAGGGTTGTTTAGGTATAAGCGCCTTATGTTTGGTATTAGTTGTGCCCCTGAATTATATCAAAATATCATGCAACAAGTCCTTCAGGGCTGTGAGGGTGTTCATAACATTATGGATGATATTATTGTAGCTAGTAACCAGGTTGAACATGATAAATGTCTTGAAAATGTTGTTAGGGTACTGCAAGACAAAGGTATAACTTTAAACAATGATAAATGTGAATTTAATATGTCCAAAGTAGTTTTCATGGGTCATGTTTTGTCAGGTCGGGGTATTGGGCCAGCAAATGTCAAAGTCAAAGCTGTCGTTGAAGCACGTGAGCCAAGAACTTCAGCAGAAGTTCGTAGTTTCTTAGGTCTTGTTAATTATAGTGCTAGATTTATTTCTGACTTGGCTACTATTTCAGCTCCGCTGCGTGCACTTACTCGTAAAGATGCCACGTTCACATGGGGTAAAGATGAACAAAGGTCGTTCGATGAGCTAAAACGTCGTCTTGCCAATGCGGAAACTTTAGGTTATTATGACAAGTCGGCACTGACTAAGGTAATTGCAGATGCTAGTCCAGTTGGACTCGGAGCCGTGCTCATACAAGAACAAAACGGTGAGTTGCGCATTATTTCTTACGCGAGTAGGAGTTTAAGCGATACGGAACGCAGATATTCGCAGACCGAAAAGGAGGCTCTAGCCTTGGTATGGGCGTGTGAAAGGTTTCATGTTTATATTTATGGGAGCCAGTTCGAGCTCTTAACGGACCATAAACCGCTTGAGTGTATTTACTCTACGAAGTCGAAAGTATGTGCTCGAATTGAGCGCTGGGTTCTCCGTATGCAACCATATACATATACTGTACGGTATATTCCAGGACCGAAAAATATAGCCGACTCGCTATCACGTTTGATCAAAGAAGGAAAAACAAGTGACAATCGGGAAAATGTAACTGAGGAATACGTTAAATTTGTAGCTCAAGAATCAACACCAGTTGCGATGACAACACGCGAAATCGAAAGAGCTTCCGAAAACGACCCTGAATTAAAGGCTGTCCGAGAATGTCTTGTTCACAGTCAGTGGCACCGTATCGAGTTCAAAGAATATCTACCGATTAGAAGTGAACTATGTTCTATAGGTCAATTAGTACTTCGGGGTACTCGTATCATGATACCTATTAGTTTACGGGAACAGGTACTTCAGCTTGCTCATGAAGGCCACCCTGGAATTGTTGTCATGAAAACGCGTTTACGAAGTAAGGTCTGGTGGCCAGGTATAGACAAAAGTATTGAGAAGTTTTGTCGAAGCTGTTACGGTTGTCAATTGGTAAGTCAGCCTAGTAAACCCGAACCGTTAAAGCGTACAGAGTTGCCCTCTGCTCCGTGGCAACACTTAGCTGCTGATCTGTTAGGACCGTTACCGAGCAATCATTATATGTTTGTATTAGTTGATTATTATAGCCGCTATTTTGAAGTCGCTGTTACTAAGAATATTTCGTCCGAAAATATAACGTCGTTGATTTCAAAATTTTGCTTGACTCATGGATTGCCGTTATCAATTCACACCGATAATGGACCCCAGTTTGTTAGTCAACATTTTAAGAACTTTATGTCCGAACATGGTATAGTCTATCATAGAACAACTCCGTTATGGCCACAGGCTAATGGCGAAGTAGAGCGCCAAAATCGTTCGATAATGAAGCGTGTCAAAATTGCGCAAGGCGAAGGTCGCGACTGGAAATTCGAACTGAGTAAATTTCTAATCATGTACCGTAGTACTGCTCATTCTACAACAGGAGTAAGTCCGTCCGAATTACTTTTTGGTCGAAAAATCAGAACAAAGTTACCTGAGTTGATTGATTATAATGTTAATGATTTTGAAGTACGTGACCGAGACGCCGAACAAAAGGAAAAGGGAAAAATATATGCCGATAAGCGTCGTGGTGCTTGCGAGAGTGATATTCGTGTCGACGATCAAGTTCTAGTCAGGCAAGACCGTGGAAATAAAATGTCTACACCTTTTGTTCCATCCCCTTTTAAAGTGGTTGAGAAAATTAGTAATAGTGTATTGGTTGAATCTGATCAAGGTGTTCAATACAGGAGAAATGTGACACATTTAAAGAAATTTATTGAGAGAGAAAATAATGATTTATCTTGCTCACAATCTGATGCAAACAAAAATGTAGTTAATACAGAGTCTGAAATTATTTCTAGTCACAAAGATGATTATGAGAAGTTAACTGAATCTAGCAATTTTGATGAAAATAAATGTTTAAGTTCTCGTCAAGATGAAACTTGTAGTATGAAAGATAGACCAGTCAGATTGAAAAGATTACCGTCAAAGTTTGACGATTTTGTCTTGAAATAATGTGTACCGTTATGAACAATTATAAGTTACATGATTTTTGTTATAAAGGTATTAATAACAAATGTTTTTGTTGTTGACATATTATTGACAATGTTGTTTATTTGAATTTTTATGTTTAAACAAAATTGACATAGGGTAGTTCAATTTTTATTTGAAGTTTTTATTTGTAAAAAAAAAAAATGTCAAGATGTTTTCAAATCTAAAAAGAAGGAAGAGATGTAGTGTTTGCTATGTATGCTTTAGTATATCAGTATAGAAAGAGAGATAACTCTGTTATCTGCTGGAACAATGTATGTGAACTGCTTGTCTCCCTTTGTACTGTGTTGTATAGAATATGCAGAGTTTCCGGTTATGTAATAAATGATGTACCTTCAATGGTGTTTGTTTGTATGCCAGTATCAGGGCTATCAGGTTTAATCCGAATGTTCCATGCCACAAACAGTACAACGCTCGTCTGGCGTACTTAATTTTAATCCGCATGGTTTCTATGATGAGTTTATTTTCACCATTTTAAAAGCAGCCAAAGTGCATACGCACTGCTTCAATTAAATCTTTTATATATCGACTATGCATTTGAAATAACAGAATATAATGCATACATATCTGATTACTCTGTCCTTCCCACTAACGATCGAAAGATATACATGTAATATTATCCCATGCTATAATATGATTTCAGCTAATTATGTATATATATACATTTACCTTGCCAATTTAGTGTTTGGTAATTTTCCCATGGAGACGCCTGACTTCTTCAATATCTCAGCTTTGTAGACTTCGGCTTCGTTTGTAGAGAACTGTAAATAGTAATCTTAAATATTTAGAATAATAGTAGTAATTTGTAATTTCTCCTTTGAATTGATTTGATAAAATATTTACAAAAAATCATTTTTAATGGCAACTTCTAGAAATGAATTGCAACCTGAAGTAATGATAGAGTCAAATAAATCACAGGGTTTAAAATCTACTGAAAGAGACGGCTGCTAATGATGTAAAGATAAATAAATCACAGGGTGTAAAATCTACTGAAAGAGTCCGCCGCCAATAATGTAAAGATAGATAAATCACAGGGTGTTAAATCTACTGAAAGAGTCCGCCGCTAATAATGTAAAGATAAATAAATCACAGGGTGTAAAATCTACTGAAAGAGTCCGCCGCCAATAATGTAAAGATAAATAAATCACAGGGTGTAAATCTAATGAAAGCTAGAGTCCGCCGCTAATAATGTAAAGATAAATAAATCACAGGGTGTAAAATCTACTGAATGAGTCCGCCGCCCGTAATGTAAAGATAGATAAATCACAGGGTGTAAAATCTGCTGAAAGAATCCGCCGCCAATAATGTAAAGATGAATAAATCACAGGGTGTAAAATCTACTGAAAGAATCCGCCGCCCGTAATGTAAAGATAGATAAATCACAGGGTGTAAAATCTACTGAAAAAGTCCGCTGCCAATAATGTAAAGATAAATAAATCACAGGGTGTAAAATCTACTGAAAGAGTCCGCCGCCAATAATGTAAAGATAAATAAATCACAGGGTTTAAAATCTACCGAAAGAGTCCGCCGCTAATATATGTAAAGATAAATAAATCACAGGGTGTAAAATCTACTGAATGAGTCCGCCGCCCGTAATGCAAAGATAGATAAATCACTGGGTGTAAAATCTACTGAAAGAGTCCGCCGCCAATAATGTAAAGATTTATAAATCACAGGATGTAAAATCTACTGAAAGAGTCCGCCGCCAATATATGTAAAGATAAATAAATCAAAATGTGTATAATCTACTGAAAGAGTCCGCCTCCAATAATATAAAGATAAATAAATCACAGGGTGTAAAATCTATCGATCGAGTCCGCCGCCAATATATGTAAAGATAAAAAAATCAAAGTGTGTATAATCTACTGAAAGAGTCCGCCGCCAATAGATGTAAAGATAAATAAATCACAGAGTGTAAAATCTACTGAAAGAGTCCGCAGCCAGTAAGGTAAAGATAAATAAATTACAGGGTGCAAAATCTGTGGAGAAAGTCAGCTGCAAATATATGTAAAGATAAATAAATCACAGGGTGTAATATCTACTGAAAGAATCCGCCGCCAATAATGTAAAAATGAATTAATCACAGGGTGTAAAATCTACCGAAAGAGTCCGCCGCCAGTAATGTAAAGATATATAAATCACAGGGTGTAAAATCTACCGAAGGAGTCCACCGCCAATATATGTAAAGATAAGTACTTCGTATGTAGTGTAGGCATTTGCATTTTGAAATCAATAACATATTATCCTTTTAAATTAACACGTTACGATTTGCGAGTGTGTGTTTTAAAACATGCAAGCCACAGGTTTTAACTGATCAATTTTAATGTTTTCACTCTATTTTTTATAATTTCAAAATGCCAAAAATGAGTAAAACAATAATGGTCTAAAGATGTTTTCTTACTGATAATTTTTGCTGGATAGTGTGATCAGTTTCACTTGACCTATTATTATTTTCAAGATAATTGCGAAAAACGCAAAATTCGGTGAAAATAATTATTTCAGGACGAAACGCCCTATAAGACTAGAACGACAATTACCTTTATTTTATTTATCTATAGGTAGAATATTTTGCTGTTTACTGTTTCTCTGTATCTTTCTATTATAGCCGACAATACAAAAAAGGGGTAAACATCATCATTTAGGGACAATAACTCTTATAAGGAATTCTTCACTTTAATAGTAGCCAGATTAATTACTTGCATTTTACTCTGATGTTCTATTTATATTAATGGCGGTCATGTTGGTCGATTGGCTTGTACAACTTACAATCAGACTCCCAATTGTTTTCATAGGCCCTGGTACAACTTGAAATCTGTTTTTTCTATCCATGATTGACTCTATTTTGGAGATTGGCTGGATTTTCTGTAGGAAACTGTCATGATGATCCAAAGATAACCACCATCCTTAAACAAAGAAATTACAATACCCATCAGAACTTTTGTTTTGTATGTTTAATAGGCAGGTTCGACGAGTCTTCACACAAGAACTTAAAAATTGCTTTAAAATAACACATCTGTTTGTAATGGATTTATTTTAATTTAGTTATTCAAATACCTTATTTTCTAAGCAACAGTACCCCTTAAACATATATTACATTATACTTATACATTGTTGACGATATGTGTCGTCTGGTATTTTTTGTCATTGTGTTGACGTATAACTCACATCTCGTTTCATTGATAAGAACATGACCTTTTTGACAAAGTTACCAAGCCAAAATAACAACTTCATAGAAATAAGTTACCATCAAAACAATGAATGGGATAGTTGCAAATAACTCCACCGTCGACATAATAGTTCGTTTCACCAAACAGCTTTTTCTGTACACTTTGAAATACACCTGAAAGAACATGGTACTTGTTTTAACAAAGATGCAGGTCGTATGTTTAGATGCGCCGCAAAGAAAGCTTAAACCATATATATTTGAATAATTAATATAAAATACATATAATACATATATTTGTTAAAAGGATTCAGAAACGAGCAAAGTAAGTTTTTTTAACACTTATATGGAATACATTTTAATATTACATATCGTCTTGATCCCTTTGGCGATGTGATCTCTAAGTAAACTTGAACCTAATTTGAAAGACAAAGATTCGTATCAGAGAGATTTACTGTCTTCCTAAAGGATTTCTTTTCAAAATGCTTTTGTGATTTCCAAACATTTTTTTCTACATGTTATTTATTTGTGAACTGGGCGATTAACTAAAAAACTAGATGAAAGTCCAAATGATTTTTATGAACAAATTGTGAGTCAGAGACCAGTTTACAGATCAATAATCAACCTCTAGAAAAATATTATTAATTCTTATAATTCTTAATGCAAACAATTGTTTTTTTTCTTTTAATTTCAACTTTCTTGGAACCCCAGTGTTCCACTCATGTGTATCGATTGATTGATTGATAGAAGAAATCTAAATAATAGAATTTTGAAATAAAATATGAGAAGAAAGCTGTTATAATATGCTTTCAGAATATTAAAAGAAAAATGGGGTCAACATACGTTTTTTCCTGCTGTAACATAAAATAGAAAATTTCATTTAGAGTCTTTTATAAATTGTACTATTTATGCGTTACCTTCCCTTAATACGCAAAGTTAAGAAAGATCAAAATCAAGGAACAATATTCTACTTTTTAAACTAGATACCCCAATGATGATTGTGACCAGTATTGCCTATTGGTTAAATTTGGCCAAGCTGTTTCAGAGAAGATGTTTGTTAATGTTAACGGACGCCGACAGACGACGGATGATGGACGCCAAGTGATAGTGATGTGAAAAGCTCACTTGGCCCTTTTTGCCAGGTGAGCTTAAAATCTAGACCTATTGTGTTCTGCTACTTTATAATCCAAGATGGTGTAAGATACCCTTACCACCTTGAATGTAGTTCTAACATCGTAGAATTGCGAAATAGTATGTAACGAATACACTTTGATTATTGACATTTTCAATCTGTCGTAGCCACAATCATATCATCCGTTATGACAATGACAGGCGAAGCAGGACTTTGTCGGCTTTTAGGTAGTGTGGCTATAGTTTCATGTTGCCTATTTTTCTATCCAATCAGTAACAAGCAAAATCCTACCTGGAATGGACATTGACATGCGCACTGCCATTCTAATGGGCATATCAGGCGTAGTTTTTACATGACAATATTCTTCTGACATAGTATTCACATTTGTAATAACAACGCATAATTCATTTCCAAATTTCTTGTATACCTACAACGACACAGTTTATTAACGAATGTATTGTGCAAACAACAAAAAAAAAAAAAAATCAATCGTTTCCCCATTTTCGTCCGACGCAACATATTTTTAAGTATTATTCCATTTTCCTATCACTGGATTGATACCGCCGCTGGTGGACTGTTATTCCCCAAGGATATCACCGGCACTGATATGATTTATAACATATACATTTCCAATTAAATTCTCCGTTGATAAAGTAATACATTATTGAAAACTAATGTTCTAACTCCACCAGGCATCAGTTGTTGTTTGTCTTTTAATTCCCTTATTATCATATACCTTTTCGTGTGTTTAAGTATTTATGCACAAAAAAATCAATTCAGATTTGCAACACATTTATAAAGTGTTATTTCCATTTTGTTCTTGAATGCACAAACAGACATATATCAGTATCCGATATCTCATTGTACCAACATAGTAAAAAATCGTAAAAAAATAGCAAATAACGATCAAAATCAAATTGTATTACGAAGTCAGTATAAATAATAACAATGTAATGTATATAGCATGAATCTTGTTGAACTGTGTCAGAATATATCAACCATTATGATACAGTCTTATCAGTTTAATTTATTTTTCAAATATTTCAAAAGCTAAGACTATCGTTTAAAACATACAATCTTTTTTAAAGAAAATATTTCAAAATGAAACTAAAACGAGTTTTTGAGAGAAAACAGCGCAACAGTTTATCATTACATTACCTCGCGAAATGTAATATCGGGATTATTAGTTTTCACAGATAAAACTTCTCCCAGATAATTGAGAAATCTTGATCCTGGATGCCACCCGTAGTGTGACAATAAGTTTGGTATCAGACTGAAATATCCATATGACGCATCTTTAAAAATAGAGACAGAAGATATAACTATAACATATACACTGTTTATGAACACTGTTATAAGCTAAAGTCACAATAATTAGAAAATAGAATTTGATTAACTTTATTAATGTACCATTGTATGAAAGAATCAGGTAAAGAGAAATTCATTTAAAAGTTATTTGTTTCCTAGTACTTTCAAATCTAATGCGTAGAAAATCTTTCAATTTTATCACATTTCCAGTGCTGCGTATTTTCAAGATAAGCTACAATAAGAGCATTGTATGGATACAAGACATTCCCATTTATAATCATACGCTTACCGCTAACAAGTGTTTCTAGATTTACACTCATAATTTGCTCAACATCATGTGAATTAAATTCGACAGCGTACAATGCGGCACAAATAGACCCTATGCTTGTACCGGCAAACCTGTGCATTTGTTTTAAAATGCCGTGTTCCTCAAGAGCCTGAAATCAAATTAAAAAACTAAAATATTTATGTTAATCATTATTCTAACGATTGCTCCCTAACATTTAAAAAAAAATCAATTTCAATTGAGATATCTTCCATTTTACTATTGACGACCTCTGCATTTCAATCAGTCATATAATTTCATCCTCCTTATCTATGTGTAATATTGTTCACTAATACTTTCATTTATCTCCCAATTGATAAATAGACTACTAGTTGAGGACCTTACCTGAATGAATCATATTGTGCAGGTAAATAGGTACCTTTGTTGATGTGGTTCATAAGTGTTTCTCGTTTTTCGTTTTTTATATAGATTAGACCGTTGGTTTTCCCGTTTGAATGGTTTTACACTAGTAATTTGTGGGGCCCTTTATAGCTTGCTGTTCGGTGTGAGCCAAGGCTCCGTGTTGAAGACCGTACTTTGAACTATAATGGTATTTTATAAATTTTGACTTGGATGGAGAGTTGTCTCATTGGCACTCATACCACATCTTCTTATATCTACTATAAAGTATCCCGAGCAAGTGCGGGTATATAGAACACATTAGATATTTATACATACAGCAGAGTATCATGACAGTATTGAGACGGGATACGTATTTGTTGACAAAAAGTAAAATCACAAAATACCGAACTCCGAGGAAAATGCAAAACGAAAAGTTCCTAATCAAATGGCAAAACCAAAAGCTCAAACACATCAAACGAATGGATAACAACTGTCATATTCCTGACTTGGTACAGGCATTTTCTTATGTAGAAAATGACAAAAGCGCGAACATCATAATTTATTTTTCTGTGAGGTAGATGTCAAAGAAATAGCCGCGTGGAAGTACTACGATATCAGTTGTTGATACGGGATAACTGGTTGTTAACAAAACACAAACATTACACTTGGTTTTTCTGTGGAGTATATATCAATGAGACAGCAGTGTACTACGATATCAGTTGTTTATACGGGATAACTGGTTGTTAACAAAACATAAACATTACACTTGGTTTTTCTGTGGAGTATATATCAATGAGACAGCAGTGTACTACGATATCAGTCAATCAGACAGGATAACTGGTTGTTAACAAAACATAAACATTACACTTGGTTTTTCTGTGGAGTATATATCAATGAGACAGCAGTGTACTACGATATCAGTCAATCAGACAGGATAACTGGTTGCTGACAAAGACGTAGACATTACACTTTATTTTTATATGGTGTATGTATCAATAAGACAGCAGACTACTACGATATCGGATAACTGGTTGTTGACAAAAGCTTGAACATTACACTTTATTTTTATATGGTGTATGTATCAATAAGACAGCAGACTACTACGATATCGGATAACTGGTTGTTGACAAAAGCTTGAACATTACACTTTATTTTTATATGGGGTATGTATCAATAAGACAGCAGACTACTACGATATCGGATAACTGGTTGTTGACAAAAGCTTGAACATTACACTTTATTTTTATATGGGGTATGTATCAATAAGACAGCAGACTACTACGATATCGGATAACTGGTTGTTGACAAAAGCTTGAACATTACACTTTATTTTTCTGTAATGTCTATGTCAGAGAGAAAGAAGACAACAGAATACTACGTTATATTGACCAAAGCGTGGACATTACACTTTATTTTTCTGTGATGTCTATGTCAGAGAGATAGAAGACGTTATATTGACCAAAGCGTGGACAATACACTTTATTTTTCTGTATGGTATATATCAATGCGACAACAGGGTAATACGTTATCAGTGATTATTGACCAAAGCGTTGACATTACACTTTATTTTTCTATATGGTATATATCAATGAGACAACAGGGTAATACGTTATCAGTGATTATTGACCAAAGCGTGGACATTTCACTTTATTTTTCTATATGGTATAACAGGGTAATACGTTATCAGTGACTATTGACCAAAGCGTGGACATAACACTTTATTTTTCTGTATGGTATAACAGGGTAATACGTTATCAGTGACTATTGACCAAAGCGTGGACATTACATTTTATTTTTTTCTGTATGGTATATGCCAGTGAGACAACAGAGTAATACGGTATCATCTATTGACACGGGATAACTTGTTAAAGCGTGGACATAACACTGTATTTGTCTTAGGGGTATATATCAGTAAGACAGCAGAGTATTTCAATGTCGGTTATTGAGACGTGATAACTGCTTGTTGACAAAAGCGTGGTCATCATACTTTTTTTTCTGTGGGGTTTATCTCAATATGCATATTTGTGACGTCACATTATTCCAGAATAAGTTACTGTTGGTAGAATTTTTCATTAAAAAATGCATTCAAATGCGTATGAAAATAAAGGTGAAGAAAGTTTATGCCTGTAAGAAAAAAATTGCAAATTGAGGAGAACACCTTGTAAAATCTCAACAAAATATCTTTCAATGTTAGAAACGTTTTTGTTTTGAACATCGACATACACGTTTGTTCAAGGTAATATTATAGATTTAACTGTTCATGAAAAGAATTCCAGTGCTAAAGATGAATTGTTACATATGTTTTCATTATTGAGTAAACTTCAATTGATGTTTTTTCCTCTGGTTGGGTACATGGTTATTTCGCTATGTATTCCTAACGCATGCATGTGGTCCCTGTATCCATGTATCACTCAGCTCTGGATGTTACAAAAGAATCTATCATCTTCAAGATAAATTACATGACCGTCTCTTTCAGCTGAATTAAATAAGGATATATTTGCACCTAACATTCAATGTGTCCGGGTTAAAAACTCATTTATAAAAACATCCATACTGGAATCACCGTATAGAGTTCTTCTTAACATTTACAAATTGGTGAAATTAGTTACAGAAGTTGCAAACAGCAAAACAAAATAATAATACTTACCCGACCGAGTCCACAATAGACAAGACCTTTCACACCCCCACCTTCCAACACCAAATTTTCGAATGGGAAACGATATTGTGTTGAATCGATATGGCTACCACCTGAATCACCATAGTGTTGGTGTGACTCTTCGTCCAAATCTAAGAAAAAAGATGCATGTTATTTATAAGTTGATAGAATAATCATTGCATTCCATATCTAGCTGCACATTTCAGATGAATAACTTTATAAAATAAATTGCATAACCATTATTGCAATTTAGAGAGAGAAAAAAAGGTCAGAGGAGGAATTTACGTGGCTGTTAGGTACTACGGAAAAGGCTAAATTGAGTTTTAAGGAAAATATTGTGTTCAGTTCTAGTTTACAAAGAAACAAAAATCTGCTGTAAACAATGAAAATAACACAGCCGAAAATTTTGAATATTTGTAAACTTTGCTCTATTTTAGGCCAAAGAGTCTAACTTTTACAGACCTATTGTTATAAATTCCAAATATAAAAGTGCATGTTTAGTCACATTATGGTTCAATGTAAAACCTGCTATATTTAATATTCAAATGTCAAATATTTTTTTCGAGGAATGTTTGTACTTTTTACCAGAAGTCTCCGCATTAAGGAATATTTCGCGTCGAAGGAAAATAACATCGAAAGCTCGAATAGTGACTCAGAAATTCAGATAACGATAACAACTACAAGTTTATTAAAATAAGTACTTGGATCCCTAAACCGAGCAAAAATGACACATTTGAATCCTTTATTGACAATGATAAGTCAGACTTTGTTAGAAATACCAGGGAAGACAAGAAATCTTACGACAACCTTACCCCAGAAGAACGAACTACAATTAAAAACTTACGACCCAACAGGCAACAACAATATATTCATAAAATCTGCAGACAACAACAGTGCAATGGTTTTCATGGATAAATTTGTCTTTATTCAAGAGACTGAACGCCAACTTGACGATGCAAGGTTCTACCAAAAACTGGACTCTGATCCTACAACAACTTTTAGCAGAGAAATAACTGCTAGGTTGGTAGAAATAAACGAAGCTGGCTTCATCGATGACAAAACTCTTGAATATTTGAAACCAGAAAATCTAAAACCTGGCAGATTTTATCTTTTACCAAAAATTCATAAGGCCAATAATCAGGAAGACCAATCGTTTCAGCGAAAGGTCATCCGACTGAATAAAATCGAAATTCGTTGACATCTTCGTCAACATGTTGAAGACTTACCATCTCACATCAATGACCCAACTGATTGAGTTTTGTTTTATTTGATGAGATTCAAGATTAGGAATTAAATCAATAGTCAAAAACTTACCTGTATTACTGAGCTATTTTACACAAACAACTAGTATTGTTCAAATTATTGACACTGACGAAGGCTATTTGTTTACCCGAAATATTTGTCAACACGATTTTATAACATCATCTTCGTATACCACTATATTCTATCAGTACCGTCCGGCAAATCTTTATACTTTTATAATTTGTCCTTATCATTTTTCTATTCTAGACGATCCGGTACATATTAAATTTGCTGGTTGTTATTTTTTAAAGATTTTTCTCTCTGCTTCGTATGGCTCATATTAACACTAAGAACCAACTGTACTTTGAATTGATTTCCGAATGATAACTTTAGTGTTTTACATTGGATCATCATCATACCTATACAGGATGTACCCACTTACCTTAAGTAAGGAGAAATAACCTTATGCACTTAAAGTTAAAGGTCAAGGTCACACTTCCTGTAAATGACCACTTTGTTTTTGGATGATAAATTGCATCCTATCTTCTTCATACTTTCAAAGGTAAACGATGTCTTCAATGTCAGATGATCTTTAACTTCCATTCAAATTGTTTAACATTTCATGCAAAAATAAAACACATACTTCCTACCATATAAAAATCAAGCTTTGCAAGTTTATTTAAGATTCATATCAATTTCTTTTTTTTTTCCTTAAATTTCTGAATTAATGGCAAGACATTTAGCAACCACGATTGCTTTTTGGGAAAAATGTACCACTTACAACGATGTTTTATAATCCAAGTCAGCCGCGGTTCGATTTGTAGTGTTTTTGTTTGTTTGTTTGTTGCGTTATTGCTTTATTTTTATGTTTTGTCTTTCTTTCTGTTTGTCCAAATGTATAATTCCTTTATTTACTTTTATTACTTATGCTTTCAGTGCTGTCAAGTCTAACTTGCGTGAGACTCGCGCATTTTCATGCTTATTTGGCGGCATTTTTCCTTTAATCTATTGTTTTTTTCTTTGATCTTTGTAATTTTTGCCATATCTCACGCATTTGCGTCATGAAAACTTGACAGCCCTGTGCTTTGTGTATGGGATTTGTTGTCATCATAAATGCGTATTGTTTATGTAACGACATGACAGAGATTCATAAATTGCGTCCAATACAAATCTGTTGTTTATTGCAATAACACAAAACAAAGTTGGCACAATGACTTTTTTTACAAAGTGAAAAAAAAAAAAAAAAAATCAAGTAAGTGTTTTTACACTGAATGTGGGTCATCTACTTGTTTTGATATTTCAATGACAGCTAATGATTTATGATTCATGACCAACATTCAAACATGTATATCATTTTATAAATTTGATTTAGATTTAGATCAACAGACATCCGTATTCTTAAATATGTAAACAAGCCAACAGTCATAATTTCCGTCAATGAAGTTGTCATTAAATCTTATTGTGGTAAAATATAACGACTTTATTTCAAAAAGATATCAATAATTTTCATCGTTTTAAAAATGACATGTCGTACTTTAAAGTTAAAAATTAATCGTCCACCATCCGCGTACTTAAAATATATTAACCATACAAGTTTGATTTAGTAATAGTTAGAAACGTTCCGATTCAACAAACAGAGTTATATTAAAAGGATATTTATAAGACAATTTCAGTTATCTAATAGAATGTTGTAAAGAAAAAAAATGTCTGTCCATATATCTTTATTTTCAAGTCTCAGTCTTAATCTTCCACTCTTCATATTGGTCGACCTACTTTGCAATTGTCCAACAACAACAACAAAAAAATAATAAAACTACGGATTTGCACCTTGCGTCATAACTTTTTATCGCTTATTTTGTGATTTTCATACTTTCTATACATATCGAGACTAAGATATAAATGCTGAAAAAAATGAATCTGGTGACCAAATATAAATCTTATTTAATCACATTCAAATGAAGAACATTCCATTTTGAGACAAAATTCTAAGCACCAATTTCAGACAAATAGAAAATTGCAGTAAAAACATATTAAAAAAAAGGCTTTTGTTGTTGTTGTTGTTGTTATTGGTTTGGTAGGCGGCTTACTTATGTATAGTAATTGCGCCTTAAATTCATATATCATAAATATTATGTATATATACTTTCAGTCCTTAATTTATTTTTAGTATTACGTTTTGGCGAGTAATTATATGAAACTTTGACGAACATGGTTGACTGTGTTACAATAAAGTATTTAAATGTAGAGAAAAAAAAACACATAACAGAAGGTACATGTAATAGGAAAATGAGAGAGAGAAAAAAGCAAATGATAATTCCTAATGAAATGTACATTATTAATTGATAGGTATCATAAAATTGTTTAGAAATTTCATCTGGTTGTTCACCTTTGTGTCGTCTGTGATATACTTATAAAAAAAAGTATATTTAGAAGAATAAAACAAGACATCTGCTAGTTAAATGCTACCAATGTAAGGACGTCTCCAACGATTGATGTAGCAAATAAAGAATCCTTAAGTAAGGATTGATTGTAGTATTTCCTTTTCCATAACGGTAAGGTGCGTTAAAGGCTTTTAACGAGCACATAATGCATTTATACATCTATATCAGTATGATTCATATATATTTTCATTTAAATATCAAGATGCAGTAAAAAATATATAATAACAAAAATACCGGACACCAAAGAAAATTAAAACGGAAAGTCCCTTATCAAATGGCAAAATCAAACCCAAACACATCAAACGAATGGAAAACAACTGTCATATTCCTGACTTGGTACAGGCCTTTCCTTGTGTAGAGAATGGTGGATTAAACCTGATTTTATAGTTAGCTAAACCTCTCACCTGTATGACAGTCACAAAGAATTGCATTATATTGACAACAATATGTGAGCAAAACAAACAATCACAATAGGTAAAAATGTCAAAAACAGCAGTCAACATTGTGTTATTATCTTAATCTCTATAAAAGCAAATAACTATTTCAAAGAAAAACAAAATGGCATATAGACACTCTATAGACAAAGTACATAAGCAAAAATGAAAGACAAGAATACAAAAATGTCCACACTACAATAACACAATAGCGGGATGTATAAATACCTAGCTAAAACGTCACCAGTGTCTGAGTAGAAAGTTGATGAACCAGGGTTATGTCAAAGAACGTCTCGTTAGATACCATGACCTAAATATTCCGTATCAACTTCATAAATAATTTATGATGGTCTTGAAGTATAGATTCTAGGTACTGACGTTGTTTATCATCTTAATAACGTGTTATAGTGTTCGTTTTATTTCTCTTTGTATATTTTTAACCTTTACTGTTTATAATTTTGGTATATACTTCTGACGTGGCTAGGTATTTATACATCATAAATTATTTGTGAAGTTGATACGGAATATGTATCAACAAGGTCATGGTATCTAACGAGACGTTCTTTGACATAATCCTTGGTTCATCAACTTTCTACTCAGGCACTGGTGACATTTTATAAAGTCTGAGTAGCAGCTGCATGCTCTTGAATACCGAATGAGTTGGGAAATGTATATCCCATACGCAGGGGAAGTTGGTATATTGTTGCTTAGGTGGGGGAAATTTATAATTTCAAAATTGAAATCGATTCGCTTGTCATAGATTCTGGTACTGAGATCATTACTAAGTCTTATGTCAAATTCGAGGTATAAGTATACAAATGAGGCGGACGAAGCCGTTTCTGTTGTTTCTTAAATTTCTAGTTCTAAATTCATACATGTTATTTTAGTCTTATATACTAGTACATGATTTGTTTTGTTAGTTGTTATTGGCTTCGAACTAGCTGTCAGTAACTGTGAGTACTCTCAGATCTTTACTTGGTGTCTTTATTGTTGTTAGCGATGAGGGGTGGATAAATACCCTGCCACGTCCAGTCTGTGTTTTTGATTGATGTTTTTCTGCTTTGTATCGATCTGATGAGATAAGCCTTTTCCAATTCATTTTTATAGTTTGTTCTTATGTTGTGCTGCTTCACTACAGTTCTAGGTAAGGGGAGGATTGAGCGCTCACAAACGCCACATTCTTTATGTGCCTGTTCCAAGTCAGGAGCATGTAGTTCAGTGGTTGTCTGTGGTTCATGTCTATCATATTTGTTTTTCGTAAATTGTTTTGTTATAAATTAGACCGTTAGCTTTCTCAAGTGAATTGTTTTACATTTGTCATTTCGAGGCCTTTTATAGCTGACTATGTGGTATTGGTTTTGCTCATTGTTGAAGACCGTACGGTGACTTATAGCTGTTTACTTCTATGTCAGTTGGTCTCTGGTAGAGAGTTGTCTCATTGGCAATTATACCACATTCTCCTTATTTTTTATAAAACTCAAAACCTCTGCCCTAATTAATGTCTGTAGAAACTGGACAACTATTTTCCCCAAAAACCTACCAAATTACGTACACTTCGTCATGAAAACATTTTTTGAACTTGTCATTTCATACTTATTTAACCATTTTAATTTAAAGACAGTTTAATGCACAACTGGTGCAGACAGTTTTAATTCATTTTCATTTTAATTAGATAAATATGTTTATTAAATTTTATAACTAGTTTCCTTTCGTCGTTCTGGATAAATAAAAGAAGTAATAACTAACCTATATCATCAGAGCATTTATCGCATTCTTCACGAAGAGCTGCTAAAATCTTTTCACGAGATGCTTGGATTGTTTGTCTAGCTTTCCAGCATTTTTCTGTTGTCAACCCATGTGTCGTACCTTGGGAGGAAGAGTTACCCATCTAACTGATATTTAAAAAAACAAGCATAATGTTAAAAATGATAGTAAGAGAAATACACAGGGTAGGTCATATAACTTAATGATTAAGACATCTTGACACCCTTACAGAACCAGAGGAAATGGGATAGGGATCCCAACTAAACAAAATGACGGGTATTGCAGAAAAAATATAAACCCAATAATTAACTGGTTCACCAATTTACAATAAAGATACAAAATATTTCCTTAATAAACGTAAAGATATTAAACATTCGTTACCGGATAATACCACTTTTATTCTGCTTTCATACGATAAATACATCAAATCATATTTAGGAGGGCCTCATAGAGTCTTAGGTCAAACGTTTTTCACCTATTGAAAATTTCCCTATTATCTCATATAAAAACACATTTTTTTTATGAAAATTTTAATGTTAATCTCATAAATGTGTACATTTGTATGCTCCACCTAAGATAGTAGTAGTGGCATTATGTTTTCTGGTATGTGCGTCCGTTCGTTCGTGCGTCCGTCCGTCTGTCCGCTTCAGGTTAAAGTTTTTGGTCAAGGTAGTTTTTGATGAAATTGAAGTCCAATCAACTTGAAACTTAGTACACATGTTCCCTATGATATGATCTTTCTAATTTTTGCCAAATTAGAGTTTTGATCCCAATTTCACGGTCCACTGAACATAGAAAATGATAGTGCGAGTGGGGCATCCGTGTACTAAGGACACATTCTTGTTTTTTTTATAGTTATCACGAATTATTTTTATGACATTTCATTACTTAGAAATAACTATTTGTATGCAAATGCTGAAATTAAGTGTGATTTTTTCCCTATATAGCCATGTGATTTGAAGACATTCATAATTGTCTATAAACACTGATTTCCAAAAAAAAAATAAAAATCATAAATATATTCCATAATTATGAAAAGAAATTCATTCAATTTGGACAAGAAATATGTTCAGTAGAATTTCTATTGAAACTGCTTTTTTTATATGAAATAATAGGGGAATTTTCGATATCTGAAACACTTTATTTCAACGGAATTAAGGTCTTACAGCATGAAAAAGGGCCTTATATTTCAACAGAAACAGTTTGTGATCAAAACAGTATAGAAAATTAAAGGCCTGTTTATCGAAATATCTTAGGACATGATCAAGAATGAGCCTAGGACTGTCATAGGACATGTCTAAGCACATCGAAGCTTACTCATGATTATCTTACTTAGGATGACTATTGAACAGCGGTATACTACTGTTGCCTTTATTTAACGGCTATCCTAAGTGGTGTCTGTCTGTGTTGTAAAAGTGAATAACAATATAAAATAATGAAAAGACTTTTTAAGGCAAGAATACATTACCATTAATCAATCAATACAATGATAATAAAAATAATAATAAAAAACCAATTGTTCTCTAACCAATTGTTCAGAGAACAATTGAAGGTCTTTCCATCGTGATATTTGAAAATTTCGATGAAAAATAGTAGGTCTGCTGTTAGAAGATAATTTATCTTAAAATGATTCTGATATACATTGCTTATGGAACTTTTTTCATAATATTTGAATATAATAAGCCACTTCCGGGTAAATAACAGTCATTTTGGTGTCAAATAATAGCTTACTTTACGCTGATTAAAAAAACATACATGGTTTCCATATACTTTTTCTTGAAACACAGGAGATACGTTGCTACTTCTGGTTTACAAAACTTCACTTCCGTTTTCATATGATAGATTACTTCACACTGATTCCAAAAATATATAGTTTTAGGTTCTTTTGCACAAAAGTAGTGCAAAAAATGGCTGATTCCAGTTCAAACAAGCAAGTTCATGTTTCCTCAACCTAACAAGACCATGTAAATTAACATGAACCAATATAAAGTTATAGCAAAGGTCAAAATCTCGAACGTCAAATTAATCTGATTTTGACATCAATTTTAAGGCCATAATGCAAGAACCTCTATTTAAAAGATCATAGGTCCTTTCTATATTTTGTTATTTAGTTATATCACCAAACAGCTAGTTTTAAATATTAGAAGGGGAGAAAACTCACCTTAAATGTCAGCGAACCCTTTCAATTAAAAGATTATTACGACATGTCGGAGCTAATAATTGAGTCAAAATATTTTGTCGATATCTAATACAGTTTCTTAGGAGAAGCGATAATAAGCAAAAGTTTTATTCTAAAACATGACCTTGGACTTGGACCTTGATCTCATTTTCTTTTTATTGAACCAAGGACGTCAAATCAAAATACCCCATGTCTCTATTACTTACGGTTTACGAGTTACAATGACATTCACTTATGTCGAACAATTTATGAGATTTGAACGTCGGAAAAGTACAGTTGCTTTAATTTAAAGGAACGTTTTTAAGTACTAGTTATGACATCATGTACCTAACATCGTTATATGAATTAGGAAAGCAAAAACAGAGAACAAGATGTATTATTTTATGTGATAATCCTTTTAAACGAAATGTTTGATTTGCTTGTTTCAAAGGCAGACGAGCCAATGTCTGCCCGTTTAAAATTCAGAGTTCCTAGACAAATTGCCTTCCAAGGTTAACGATCTTCATCTAACCGGCTATTTACCCATAGTTTGGGCAAGGTTGATGAGAGTAAATGCGTTTCCACTTAAAACATCAAAAAGCAATTGCCAAAAATAAAATAGAAAAAATACATGTACTTACATTGCCTTTTTGATATTACAATACTTAACAAATCAAGTTGAGTGTGATATTTCTTGCAGAAACATTAATCTCAATATACATTCAATCGTCTAACAAAGACGGATACTAATAACTCAATCACGCTTGAATTTGTAAATATTATTTTTGTGAAAAAAGAGTATTATACTTGAATAAATTTTATGTATGGACCATGTAAAACATTTAATAGTTTTATCTGTTTCTGTATATCATTAACATATAAACCTATATAAAAAGGGAAATCCGAGTATTGTTATGACGCAACATCTACCAAAAAACCCTTCGGAAGCTATAGTTTCAACACGTGTCATTAATTTATTGATTTCCGAATAGAAGTTACAGTTCTGAGACAACTACACAATGTTACGTGCCACTGTGTAAATATAGTTTCATGGGAAATTTGTTGTTAACACTAAATGAATTGCTATTTTGTGATTAATTTTTACATGCATTGCAGTTTTATGTCCCAGTAGCACAAATTTCTTCTAATGTTTTACATGTTTTATTCGCAGTTACCCAAATGTAGTCAATGTCTAAATTTAAACCCCAGAGTTATAAATTCGAACTCAAAAGTAGCTTACAAGAAATGCAGTTGTAAGTTTAAATCAATTACAAGTAAATAAAGGCAACAGTAGTATACCGCTGTTCGAAACTCGTAAATCGATAGAGATAAAAACAAATCCGGGTTACAAACTAAAACTGAGGGAAACGCATCAAATATAAGAGGAGAACAACGACACAACAAAAACACAACATTAAAATGTAACACACACAGAAACGAACTAAAGCAGATTATTATAGACCATCAAATATATTTGAACAGTAAAGAAGTATTCTTCAACATTAGTGATGAAACATTTAAAAGAATCATACCAATTTCCTTTTACAGCGTTCAAGGCACAATTTAAATCTCATTCATCTCTCAGTTATGACGAGGGACACCAATATGAAAAGCCAAAAGTTTAAAATGAGGTTGTCGGAAGTAAAAAAGTATTGTATAACTATCAAAGAGCACCCTTGAATGTTCAATAGACATTATTGCATCAGGTGTGGTTGTTTATATTTTAATTCCATCTGCCATAGAACAGAGAATGGAAACGGGAAATGTGTCAAAAACAACCCGACCACAGGGTCCAAGGCCACCAATGGGTCTTCAAGGCAGCGATAAAATCGTGTAAATAGAGGCGGGCTTCAGCTCACACCTAAACAATAATGTATAATACTTCAGCGAAATAGAGGTCACATTAAACTCCATAATATACAAATGAACCAAAATTAAAAAACACGCAATACTAACAAATGCTAACTGCTCTGTAGATGCTACCGGTCTCGCTCCTTTCAGACTTCATGCGAGTCCCTAAGTAGTTTTTCTTTAATACCTTGATTTGTATATTCTTGTACAATTCATGAGATTTTAACATCAAACTACTGTTGCCTTAATTAAGGGCATCAAACTTCTTGCGCTTAACTGAACAGCTGAAAAACCATGCTAACAATAGCCTAATTATGACGTTTTTTTTAATTAAGTCTTTGAAATGAGCCAAGGCAGGGACGATTAAATGACAAACCTTGGTAAACAAAGTGATTGGGTAAAGTTAAACGAGATTCTCGCATTCTGTGTTCATCGTAATGATATTTCATTGTTGGAAAGAAAATCGTTTAAAATGATTTGTTTAGAATAATTAGTTAAATTTGTCAAAAATTCATAATAAAAGAAACTCAATGAGTATGTTGAAAAACACGTTCTATTATTATCCTCAATCATATCATTTTTTCAACGCGTGTTTTCAATAACTGAAAATTTTTGTTTATTTGCTTAAGGTTCATCATCACATTTTGGCTATTACGGCCGTATTTACACCACAAATTTTATCTGAGTACATACAAACCTGTGCACCTGGAAACGTTTTAAGGCATGGTAGGAACTAGATGATTAAATTTTAAATGCATTTTATGTTTCAGAAAATTAAAATTTTTTCTGGATTTTGCTATTTATTTTTTTCCCATTCCTGCAAATGATGCCAAAATAAACTAAGTTGGGAAAGAGGTTTGAAAAGCTCCCCTCATATAATAATGTTGTAAGTAGTATTGATTTAAATTGACAATAGATGGACAATTAACATCTGCAAACAATAGGTGATTTAAACTGTGTAACTTAGTACACCGTATAAAATGAAACTTGTGGGTTTGTTTATTTTGCTTTCTTCTGCAGACTGGAAAAAAAAATGCACATCACAATCTTGATAAGTTTTTAATTTTCTGAAACATAGACTACATATAACTTTTATATATATAGGTTCTGAAATGCAATAAAAATTTCCTAGATGCATCAGTTTGTCTGTACTCATAGTAGAATTTGTGGTGTAAACACGGCCATATTTTTCAATTCCTCTTGATGAACCTTAACAAAGTGATACTCGCATCCTATGTTGAACCATTTCATCTTGACAATATTTAATGATGTGCAATATTAAAAAAAAAATCCCTTTAGCGTATGTACAGCAATATATTAAGGTTCATCATAACAAATGGACATCAATGGCTGCATTAACACCTCAAAAACTACTCTGTGTACAGACTAACCTGTGGAGTTGAAAAGTTTTAAGGCCTGGCATCCAATAGATATATAAAATTTAAGTTTAATTTAAGCCATGAAAATATGGGAAATGATAGGAGAAAAACAATGCTAAAGGAAGACAAACAATAATAAGAAATAGTCAAGTGAAATCCAAGGCATACAAAAACACCATAAACAGCGCGCACTTAAGCCAATTCGAGATTAAGCACAAGTTACAAGTAAAATAACAAACAACATTCAATAAATAAGGTTAAAGTTAAATCAACATTTTGTTTCTGTTTCCGTAACTTAAAACCATTTACAGGATAGAGTTGTTGGTCCTATGTCGAACCCCCTACTTGGAAGGCCAGGAATTTTCTGTCAAGGTTCCCTTCCTTTAGATAAGTTGCCGACCAAGGCTGACGAGCTAATATCTGCCCGTTTTAAATTAAGAGTTCCATTTCTCCTAGACAAATTACCTTCCAAGGTTAACGATATTCATCTTACCGGCTATTTTATCTATAGTTGGGGCAAGGTTGAAGAGAGTTCGTTTTCACCTTAAAACATCAAAAAGCAATTGTGAAAAATAAAATGGAAATAAATACATGTACTTACCTTGTCTTTTTGATGTTACAACACTTAACAAATCAGATAGGGACGATTAAATTACAAACCTGTGGTAAACAAAGTGATTGGGTAAAGTTAACCCAGATCCTCGTATCCTGTGTTGATCTTAATGATATTTTATTGTTGAAAAAAAATCGTTACATATGATTTGTTTAGAATAATAAATTAAATTTGTCAGAAATTTAAAATAAAAGAACCTCAATAAATATGTTGAAAAACATGTTCTATTTTTATCCTCATACATATCACTTTTTCAACGCGTGTTTTCAATGACTGAAAATTTTGTGTATTGGGTTAAGGTTCATCATCACCTTTTGGCTATTATGGCCGTATTTACACCACAAATTTTACTCTGGGTACATACAAACCTGTGCACCTGGAAAAGTTTAAGGCATGGTAGGAACTAGATAATTAAATTTTAAATGCATTTTATGTTTCAGAAAATTATAAACTTTTCTGGATTTTGCTATTCATTTTTTCTCCATTCCTGCAGAAGATGCCAAAATAAACTAAGATGGAAAAGAGGTTTGAGAAGCTCCCCTCATATAATAATGTTGTGAGTAGTATTGATATTTTAATGGACAATAGATGGACAATTAACATCTGCAAACAATAGGTGATTTAAACTGTGTAACTTAGTAGGCCATACCAAACGAAACTCATGTGTTTGTTTATTCCGCAGACTGCAAAAAAAAAAAATGCACATCACAATCTTGATAAGTTTTTTAATTTTCTGAAACGTAGACTATATATAACTTTTAAATATCTAGGTCTTGAAATGCCTTAAAACTTTCCTAGATGCATCAGTTTGTTTGTACTCATAGTAGATTTTGTGGTATAATCACGGCCATATTTTTCAATTCCTTTTGATGAACCTTAACAAAGTGATACTCGCATCCTATGTTGAACCATTTCATCTTGACAATATTTGATGGTGTGCAATATTTTAAGGAAAATATCCCTTTACCGTATGTACAGCAATATATTACAGTTCATCATAACAAATGGACATCAATGGCTGCATTTACACCTCAAAAAACTACTCTGTGTACAGACTAACCTGTGCAGTTGAAAAAGTTTTAAGTATTGGTATCCACTAGCTATATAAAATTTAAGTGCATTTTGTGTTTCATAAGGCTAAATCATTTTTGGATTTTGAAGGGCATTTTTTTTCGTTCTTGCTGTTTGTGTGAAAATAAGCAAACAGATGAATTACATTTGATATTATTATACTTCATGTCAAAATGACAGATTATGATTGGTTTACACGAAGTAGATAATTTACTCTATCCCATAGCAAATACTCTATTACCCTTCACGGAGACGCTTGATCAATTGTTAAATACGGATGGTTGTTATGTACAAGACGTCATAATTAATTACTTTACATTTGAAATTTAATAGACAGTAATAACTGAACATTCAGTATAATAAATTAAATAACACATAGCTGAGAGGGCGATAGATCATAGTGTTACCCCTCTAAAATACATTGTCAACCTTGGTTTTACCTCGGTTGACAATGTTTTCTCGACGTAATAATCTGCTCTATCACCGACTCAGATATGTGTTATTTATATACTGTCCACTCAGTTACACCCTTCAAATCACCTATTGTTGTGTAGATATCTGTTGTCCATCTATTGTCCATGTCAATCAAAAACAATCAATACAATACAAATCAGTTGTTACATGAGAGGGAGCATCGCAAAGATTTAACCCAACTCAGTTTATTTTTACACCTTCTGCAGGAACAGAAAAAAATGCCCATCAAAATCCAAAAACGGTTTTATATTTCTGAAACCAAAAATGCATTTAACTTTGAATATCTAGTGGATGCCAGGCCTTAAAACTTTTTCAACTGGATAGGTTAGTCTGTTTTGTGAGTAGTTTTTGAGGTGAAAAGACTTTTTATTCATTTGTTACGATGAACCTCACAAAAGAATTACTCTTGAAATATGAAATATTTCAAAACATTTTTACGCGTAGATGGTTTGTTTCACATACTATGCACCCTATTACGGACTGCCACGGTTTGCCGTGTTTCAATCTTGCATAGATAAATTCAAAAGCCGCCATGTTGACCCATTTCATCTTGACAATATTGTGTTTGCTCATATTTCAAGGGTGTTATACAACAACAGAAAAAAGGCTTACTGTGTTCCATAAAAAAAAACTATATATCTAGGAACGACACTAATTTTGATGTTTAAAAGAAAATACACATTTCATATTGCCCTTGAAATTTAGGATGAAGGTAAAGAAAAATGCTGAAGACCCATGAGAGACAACGAAAAACACACAGAAAACAGTTATTCTAATCTTAGGAAATTTCACTATACTGAAAGGGGCTATCATAATTTTTTTCTTTTATTATAGTTCATAGTCTCCGATACATAAAGCATCTATATTGTGAGTATATAATCTCCGTCTAGAATATTGTGACAGAGTAAATTTGGACCTAAATTCTTATTTCCATTTTTGGTTAAAGAAAATATTTCAGAAGCATTTATTTTAACATGTCTAATCATATTTTTATTACCATTTTGATAAGAAGAATTTTATTATTTTAACCATTTGGCATTTCACATATTTTATCTGACTGTATTAGCTATATAAAACATGTATTTTACAAGTGAACCATACCACTGTGTCTAAACTACCCCGGAAAAACATGTATAGACTCAATAGTATCTAATATTCGGTACGGTGACGGACCATCAACAGACAGAGAAAAGGTAGGATTTCTGTTTATTTATTTGTTGTTTTTATGATATTAAAGAATATACATACACATATAACTGTTTCCGATTGTGAGATGTAATATTTTCTACAACCGTTCTAGATTAATGGAGAAATAAGTAAAAAGGCACATCAACATGGTGAAGTGAGTGAACCTTGCCTCGAATTTGTTTAATTTCTCTTTAAATTGTGCACATTGTACGGGAAAAAAGGTACAAAAAGAAAGATATTAACACGGAGATTGCAAGACTAGTGACTTTGAGCACCTAAAGATCTGTATTCCTGTGCATGGAACAAAAAAAATGGGTCATGTCGAAATATCAGAACCCGGTTTTATCAATGTTGTTTACTACATAAGGACCCGGTTTTGTCTTAATATAGGAACCGGTTTTGTTTATTTTTTAAACCACACATTTATGAAAAGTAACTTTAACACTGATTTGAACATTGTCCGTCGAAAGAAATTAAAGATATGAGCCATATAGATGCTATTGTAAAACAAAGAAAAATCTATGTATTAGAAATTTGAGATTTGATGATTTTAAGACAAATTTAAGTAGGATTTTCGCCGATTTTATGTGCTTTCTATACAAATGTTCACCTATTTTGAAAGAAGTCAATCAGTAATATTTCAGATAATAAAAGAGATGAATACATTATTTTTTTTCGATTTTCAGTTAAAGTTCAACGAGCCAAAGTTGTATGCAAAATTTTAGCAAAATCATAAATGGAATATTAATACTTTATAGCGTGCTCTTACATTAATTCTTTTATAACATTATGATGTTTGTTTGTTTTCTATACTAGTATGTAAAAATAAAATGGGGTTTGATTGTGTTACCAAATTAATTTATCAAAAGAGTAAAGCTAGTATGCTTTACTATACTATACGCTATGTTTACAATATATTTACTATCATTTACTCATTCATTCATTCATTGACGGATAGTCTGAAAAAAAGACTTAAATCTATAATATTCTGCACAAATTAATCATGCATGCAACCCCGCTAACTTTCTGGTACTATATATATACTGTGTTACTCGTACTAATGCGAGTTTTAACACTTGAGTACGTAAAAACATAGCTGTGGGAAACTTCAAGTTAACATTTATTTCTATTTAAAATAAATGCATATTACAATTATGTATTTTCAATGTGATTAAACGTTGGTTTACACCATATTAACGTCACTATATCTACGTCTTATTCAGAACAATCTAAGTGGCCATTTACCCTGTGAAAAATCCCAAATGAGCCAACTTTCCATCAGAGACCAAATGACGTAAAAGTTAGCAATTATAGGTCACCGTATGGCATCCAACAATAAGAAACAATGAAAAAGGCCCCAAAATGAAAAATATAAAAAAAAAATCAAAAGAGAAAACTAACGACCTGATTTATGAACAAAACAAAAAACGAAAAACAAATATGATATAAAGCAGTAAAAGACAACCACTGAATTTGTATACAGGCTCCTGGATTCGGGACTGGCATATACAGAATGGCGGTGTTAAACGTGTTAGCGCCTCCCTCCCCCCTCCCACCCCCCCCCCCCCCCCCCCCCAAAAAAAGAAAGTGGTATAACAGCACAACATAAGAAAAACGATAAAAATCAGTTGAAACAAAACTCATACGATTACAGAGTCTGTATAGTACATACGCGATTGGCACTCAAAGTTGTTTTTTTTTTTTTATTAAATTTTATGATGGTATACGATATAGTTATATTTATAAAATTATTACTAAAATACTCACTATTGCATTTTCTGGATAGCCTGAGACTATGATACTAATTTATATTTAGTATAATAGTTACAAGGAGGGGTAAAAAAGATTGTTAACGCATTATTATTATGATCCTTCATTTTCTAAGGCGATTCTGCATGCATATACGTTTGTCTTACTTAGTATTCTATGCTTTATAATCAACATTTAGTGTTCAAAATATTCATTTTAAAACGACCATACAGCCCCCTAGGTAGAGTGGAATATTTATTAAGATCACCATCCTGTTGTCCAAGAATATCACATATCAAATGTGCGTCCTTCAATTTTCAAGGCCGTACACTATCCAAGTTTGAACACTTGAATTTACGTCATTCATGTAAAAAAAAACAAATTGATTTACAAAACCTTCATTTCTTAGTATTTCGCTGCTAAAGTATTCGTTTTTATACAAAGCAAAATTTAAATTATTTTTGTTCCGTTAAAGCAGGAATGCAAGTGTTTACGGATTCAAATAAATGATAAGTTATCCTCTGAAAGAAATCATTTTCCAACAAGCCATCAAACTCCTGATGACGCCGGATTTTAATTCACGTCTTGCGATTATGAATTGTTTTCTATGAACGTTCCGGGT